TTCTCCTCAAGTTGAACAAGGACTTCATGACATTTGATTGAATTGAAGTACAGTACACACACACACACAAGAGTTGTCAAACATAGATTGTGTAGAATGGTGTTATTCAGCTGAAAGTATTTTCTCCTGCCTTTGCCTGTATGTCAATGTGAGAGGAAGGGGCTTAATATTGTCACTCAAATGAGCTGAATTTTATTTTTCCTTATTTGTACGCTGACCTAAACACAGCTGATTAGCTGATTTTCTTTAATCACTTAATCACGGTCAGGTTCAGAGGTGTGTCAGAACATTGCTATATTGCCTTTGCTGGTTTAGGTTTATTGATTTGATTGATGAAAAAACAGAGAAACTCACATGTACACACAATTGTTAGCTGAATTTTCTTTTCTGATATTACACATTAATGTAAGCTGAGCATTTGCTTTGATGTTCTTGAGTATGCGGTGTGTTTAACACAGTCAGGTTCAAATGTGGGTGCAAAAAATCCATTAAAACTCTAGCAGAGGTTTGTCAGAGCGTTGCCATTGTTGTGCTATTGCCTTGTGGGCAAGTGAGAAATGTTAAATAAAGCAACATGGTAAAAAGATGAAAATGACTTGATTTTACTTTCAATTCTCCAAGGTATTAACATTAACATTTTTCATAACTCCATGTAGGACGTTTCTGTACATAAATGTAAGCACTGTGGCAGTAGTAATGCAATATTTAGAAAATGTACTCTTGTACTCTTGATACTCAACTGCTTTTAAAAACAAGTACTTCAGTACTTTTACTTAAGTAGACATCTGACTGTAGTACTTTTACTTGTACTTGAGTAAAATTTAGCAAGGGGTATCTGTACTTTTACTCAAGTAATGAACCTGTGTACTCTGTCCGGCTCTGATTCTCGTCCAACATTTTTGTCAACAAAATTAACCCTAGAGGCTTTAACATGTGTCATGAGCAGGCGCGAGGGCAAATAAAACAAAATTTCCATGGAAGCTGTACAATTTTACTGCCAAAAATATTTTCAATGTAGTAAATCCCTTAAGATTTTTAACTAAGGACCATTAACTAAGGACCGTTTAAGGCATTCTGTGCAGCACCCTTAAATACATCCCTCACCTAAGGAGAAATTAAACCTTAAGTGTCATACTTAAGTTCTATAAGGTGTTTTGTGCAATCAGCCCCTTTTAAGGTACATTTCAAGTAACTTGACTTTCGGTCAGGTAAAATCAATTGTTCATCATTAATGGTATTCACTAGGTGTTCTCTGTCACAGACCACATCTCAGGATTCTCTTCATTTATTGCCATAAACTCGGTCATGTTGCAGTTAAGATACAGTCAAAGGCATCTTAAGTTCTGTTCCTTTCTTTGGTTGTTATGGTCTTTTGTGTAACTGTTAAGGGAACTTTAATGAATCCCTTAAGTATTTAAGACCAAGATAAGGAGAAAATCTTAAATACTTAACTGAACATTTTAAGAGAACCTTAAGGAGAAGACTTAAGGGTGTTTTTGCAACCAACTTTACTTTAAGGAAACCTTAACTCCAATTGGTAGGAAAATCTTAACTTTAAGGGGCCGTATTTTCTACTAAAGCGCGACACAAACTGGTTTTGCTAGTTTCATATCAGTGCATTCTTCATTTTCAGGCCATAAGCGCACATCATCAAAATAACAAATAATTCTGTGCCCACTTTCCACCCATAGAAGTGATGTTTTTTCAAAGGAGGTGTGGCCAGGCACACATTGCTATTCTAAGGCAGTGAAATTACACTGTGCTTTTGTCTAACAAAAACCAAGTCTAAAGTCAGTGGCACAATGTTAAACGGTATCTAAGCGACGTGTTTTAGAAATGTGAGGATGCACAATGCTCATTATGGACACAGGTACACCGTCGAGGTGTACTAATGGTTTTTTAATTACAGGTATGTGTAATTTTATTTATATCCATTTTATTATTGAGTACAACTGGTCCTTTCACGTATTCAGGCTGTTCAATGAAACACCATAGGAAAAAATATATTATAGCACCGGACGGACCAAGGCATCGCGGGAGCAGAGAAGGATAAGGAGATTTGCTTGCCAGGGAAAACACGCTCTTTAGTAGCAGTCCTTAACAGGACTATAACAGCCACCCAATGAGCACCGAACCAAATACACAGAGTGGAAACACAAGGTTGTCAGACACCAAACTGTAGGGTGCACACAAGGTGGGAGATTTACACAAGCTAAATACACAGGTTAGACACAAGACACAGGTAAACACACACACGACAATAGGGAAATGCAACCATTCACAACAACAACAGTACATCAAGGGCCTCACCCCCAGTCCCCACCTCTGCCGATGGTGCATCACCTCCAATGACGGGGCAGGTAGCTCCCTGAGCGCTGGCGTGGCTAGCTGCCGGGCAGTGCTGGTGTGTCAGATCCCCCCGGAACCAACCCTTCCTCTTCCGCACCTTAAGGGGACCTAATACCACTTACAGGGGGTCCACCTGGCTGGACCACCCCACATCCAGCGACTCCCACAGCCAGGCTCCCTTGTCCGGAGATAGCCAGCGCACAGGGCTGCTTGAAACATCCAGCGGTACTATGCAACGCTGCCTCCACCGACTTGGCCAGGTGCTTCTGGTGCTTCTTTCTCCCAGCTGGCCAACTCACCACACAAATGCTCCAGCTCCTGCCGCTCCTCCTCCATGGACTCCTGCAACCGCTCCCAGTCTCGATGGTCCCCACTCCCGCTGATTGTGGAACTCATGGTGCTCTTCAGTGAGCTGGGCCTCCCAACTACGGCATGTCTCTTCCCACTCCAACAGAGCAGCCTCTGCCCGCTGCCTCTGCTGGTCATGCTCGCAGGCGGAGTTGTGCCGTGGCTTCTCGCCGCTGACGATTGGGGAGCCCTTGACGGCCAGTGAGCGCCCAGAGTCCGCTGTGGTGCCTGCCCTCCTTGGTCGCTGACATTGTCTCTGCCGAGGTTCTGGCGGGCAGGCAGGAGCAGTTTCAGGGCATGCTGTGCAGGTCTGGTGTGTCTTGGATGGAGCAGAGGGTGCCTTCCTTTCCCCAGCATCCCCTGCTGGCCAGCAAGCGGCTCTGGTGCGAGCTTCTGGGCAGTTTCCTTTTCTCTGGTCGCTTCTCGGCCACCTCGAGGTCTGCCAGGCTGGAGCAGGCTTGCTGGATGATGTCAGTCAACCCCTGCACCACCCATGCCAATGGGATGGTTTCTGGTATCCTACTTCTGACACCAGTGTAGCGTCGGGCGGACTGAGACATCGAAGGAGCAGAGAAGGACAAGTAGACTTGCTTGGCAGGGAAAATGCGCTCTTTAATAGCAGTCCTTAACAGTACTATAACAGGCACCCAACAAGCATCGAACCAAATGCATAGAGCAGAAACACAAGGTTGTCAGACGCCGGACTGTAAGGTGCACGCAAGGTGGGAGATTTACACAAGCTAAATACACGCGAGGATCGGACAGGGTACACACAAGACATGGGCAAACACATATGGGACAATAGGGAAATGCAACCATTCACAACAACAACAGTACAACAAGGGCTATTTACAATTACAAACAGGGGCTGGGACACACATCTCGCTGGTGCTACAATATATATTAAGTAAAGAATAAACTGTATCATTAAAAAAAATAATTTGAAGTGATAATCTGAATTAGGCATACTGTAATTAAAAGGACATTTGGATTGCTGACAATGCATTTTCAGATGTTTGGATAAGTCAGGTGGAACATTACAATACAGTCCTCAGAAGGTCACGGCATTCTTTGTACCATGTTGTATGTTGCATAACATTGCCCAGTGTGATGGATGTCTTGAACATAAATGAGGAAACATTAGAGGACTTTGGAAGGAGTGATGCTGGACTACATGTGCCAATGCCAACAAAGGAATGTACAGCGGCAGTAGCGCGGGCAAGGAGGGATCAGCTGACAGAAGAGCTGAATCGTCTGTAGCCTTTATGCGTACCTTGGACAATGACATCAGCTTAATACAACCCATTAAGTCCCCATTCCCAGCCCAGCTCGTTCAGTAGTGAGCTTCTGTTTTCCCCATCTTCTGACATTATTATCCCACATCTGGCACCATGTGGATCGTCTAATAATGTCAGAAAATGATGGTGCTCCCTCATTCCATGCCTGTTTCACCTTGAAAGGCTTAGGTGGAACAGTGGTGCTCCTATAGATGATGTGCTGGCACCTTTTCACCTTGTGCACGAGCATGTCTCTTTCCTTGAGTGAAAAGCTATCTGGCTATCTTGGCAAATACACTGTTAAAATAGCAATCTGCCATAGCTCATGTGCCTGCTGCCTTTTAAAGGTAAAGTGATGTGCCATTCCGATTGGTTCATTGCATGTTACAGCCAAAACAAATCTCTAAATAATTAAGAGAGTTAGGACAAAGTTTTTGTACCTTGTGCTGGTGCCAAATCAGTTTTTTCCACCCTCAAAATATCAAAATGGATTTGGACATGCTTTACGCTTTACGCCTTGTGTTAGATTGTCAAAATAGACCCAAGGTGCAACCAGCCCCTGGTTATTATTGCGCATGTGCCATATAATCGCAAGTACATTGCGATATGATATAGTGCAGCTCTATGAACGGACTGCTATAAAGCCTATTATATAAAAAATTTGGGTTAAATACAATAGTTTGTGATAACAAATGCACGCACTACCTTGTGACACTTGTGAACACATTGCGTGGCTTCAGCACTTTGTCGGTACAGTACAGAAATGCATTTAGCTACTTTGTTTATTACTGTATTATTATTATTATTATTATTATTATTATTATTTTTATTATTATTGAATACTCTATTACAAATTCACTACAAATTAGACTTAAAGACAGACTTAGGGAAGGGATCTGGTTCATAACCTGGGGACTGCCTGTACCTCCAAGGAACTACAATGGGGCCGAGGTCCTGTGGTGGGAATGAGATAGAAGCTCATCTTGTTCAATGAATCACATTTTCTGTTGCAACATGTGACTAGACGGTTCCTTAAACAGGTTCCTGTTGTGGGAAAGCACCTTTTTCTCACATAATTTCATATGAAACTACACCTCCAAGACAAAACAATGGAGGATAAATAAATCACTTTGTTAGATATTTGTTAGTCACTGGGGGGATCAATTTGCGATCAAAATAGGACACAGTCTTTTATTTATATTTTACTTATAATGTAGGACCCATGACTTGTTCATCTTACTAATAAGCACTGGCAGGTTTCACCATTCGCACTGGAGACATTGGACAAAAGTAAATTGGTTAGCAAAATAATTTGCAGAAAAAATGTATTAATGGATGCATTAAATATAATTGGGGTACAAAAATAATACCATCTGCTCAATTTTTGCCTAGCTACATCTCCATTTCTGCACTTCTGTGTAACTTCTGTGGAGTAGGTACTAAAAAAGGGTTCCAAAACATCCTCTGAGGAACTACAATCAGGCTGAATTCCTACAGTGTGAACATGACAAAAGTTGCTGGTTCTGGAAAAAGGTTCTGGTTCCCAAAAAAAAAGTTCCAGGGGTATGAAAGTGCCTAATCTTGTTTGAACCTTGGGAAACAAAATTGTACCCAGGGCTGTAAGTTTTTTATGAGTTTTTGTGGTGATGAATCCTGCTAAAAAATATACCAGTGTCACCATATCAGAAAGCGAGAGTTACTTCTACTTAGCCTCAAAGTTATCTGGCTAAGCAAGAAGTACGCCTTTGTGAAATAAGTCCCTGATCTGAATTTCCTGACAAAAGCATCTGAAATGCCACAGGGAGACTAATTTTCAGAGGTTGTTTCTGCCTTCCACTGGTTATACACACTTGGACGATGTCATCTTAAATGAGTTATCATGTCAGATGTGTTTCCAGCAACATATCAGTGTTCGGTATAACAGCTGACAGAGACACTTGGTTTTATCAACTAGCCGCTCTCCAGTGTTGGTGTAATTTATTGTGAAAATAAAAGGTTCCCAAACTAATAATTTAAGTGACATGGAAAGATCTCTGTGCTCTCATTGAAACGCTAGCTGTAACCAGCTGACAGCAACCATTAGCATGCTTTTTGTGTTGCACTACTTGTGAATGTAGGTTTCGCCTGTCAAGAAGTGTATTCATTCAATGCATTGTGTGTTCCAAACCAAAAATGATGTAATAAAATGGCACACAATGAATACATGAACCATTACAGCTATTGTCTATACTTTAAATGTAGATCTGAAATGTTCTTCAGCATTTAAAAAAATAAAATAAAATTTAAAAAATCTCAATACATATGTAATTGGCAAACAAATATAAATATAATATCAAATTGGGAGGACTCTGCCAGTTCCCACCCCCATACAAAGCTTTTATCTAGTGTATCTAATAAGTCAGCTTTTCCTGTGCACATCATTTAAGATGGACATAATTTTGTAGATCCACATCCTTACAAATTGAAATTCAAAGAAACATGCAGAGCTGCACTGCTTCTCTGAGAATATCTAAAATACATGTTTCTTGATTAAAAGTGAACAAACTAAGTTTATGTAGCATGTTTACTGAACAGTACATGTGTCCTACCTGAGCAGATGACTCCAGCATCCTTGCTATGATCACAGTAATTAAATCCCCAATCATCATGTCCGCAGTCCTTCAATGTTGACTCTGACCCATTACAGGCCACATAATTCATCCAGATCTTCCCTGTTCCTTCTCCAAAGTGAGCATCCCCTGGTGCTTCTGAAGAATCTCCACAAAACATCTGTCTACACACCACTGCAGCATCCTCCATATCCCAGCCACGACCACAAACTGTGCCCCACTGTCCTTCATGAAGAACCTCCACTCTCCCAGCACAGGGACTGTCACCATCCACCAGCCTCACGTCACTGGCTGCAAGCACAGGGCAAGTGATCTTAGTGAAAAAAAGGCAGTACTATATTTAATATTTTATTACTATATAGTATTATATTTTATTACAAGGCAGTACTATATTTAATAAAACTGGTAAAACATTAAACTATATCTGTCAAAGTGTGTAAGCTTAATCATTTCAAAACCTCTCCTAAAGTGACTTGCCAGCCATCCACATAATGCAACAGAAAACATGACTAATCGGACAAGGTGACCATCTTCCATTGCTCCAAGTTCCAATTCAGATACTTGGGTGCCCATTGTAGATACTTTTGTGTCTGGACAGGGGTCAACACTGACATTTTGACTGGCCAGTGGCTACATAGCCCCATAGGTAACATGCATAATGCATAATGCATAATGATTTGGCCCTTGTCAAGGTCAGTCAGAATTTTATCGCTCCCCGTTTATTCTGCATTCACCATGTCGACTGTGAGTACCAAATGTTTTCTAGTATATCCCAGACCTAGACACAGACCATTTTTACAAGATAGCTTGGTTCATTGGTGTGTAGATGTGGAGAGTTATAGTAATCTGGTTACACCAAACAGTATAATCTCAATTTTTTAGTACAATTAATCTTATATTTGATAGTAAAAACAGAAGTGATTAGCAATTAATAATGCAATAAAATTTGAAATAGTTGATATTCATGGTTATTAATATGAAAATTAATTTACATTCACAGGAGATCTGAGCCACTGCATCATCATCATTACAGTCACTCTCTCCCCAGTTAGAGGACGGGCACTGCCACAGTGCAGAGTCATGTGGGCGACATTTCAGGTTATCAAGCCAATTTGGAGCTCCTTTCAGCTGAGAACATGAGTTAGAAACAGTCCCACTCTTTCCACACTTGAGGTGTTGACATATCAAACTCGCTGTGGTTGTGTTCATTTGATTGAAACACACATTTCCCCAGGTGCCATTGTAGAAAACCTCCAACTGCCTAGAGCAGCCATCAGCCAGCCTGATTTCTTTATATTCTACAAGGAGTGTAAAGGAATAACTAAAGTGAACAATTATTCATATTCAGGGAGTAACAGTGAGACTTAATTAAACAATAAATAATGTGGAGCTGTTCAATGATAAATTGCTTGCATACTGTAAGTATTGGTTGTGTTTTTAAATTTTTCCAAATATCTTAGCCTAAATTAATACTACAAAATTAAAAAAACTTACAATTCAAGAATACAGCCAGCATCATCCAGGGTACAGTATATTGAAACAACATATAAAAGCATAGGTTAAAAATCACTAAAAGAACAGGAAAAATTGTAGGTTTATTTGGTTACTTTGAAAATGCTAAATATGCCATTAAAAGTATATAAAAAAAAGTTTGTGAAATAAAGGAATAAAACTGAATAAAATAATATCTTGTTTTTCTTACTTTATGAATTGGATTTGGCTCTTCAATACAAATATATGACTATCATGGTTTGGTTTTTTTAATATAGAATATCTTTAAATATCCATTGAAATAAGTTTCAGTGAAGATTTTGACCATGTGCTTCAGCTCAAAGTGTAGCTTGAGTGCTATAGCGCTCTTCTGCTTTGTTCTTTTTTTTTTTTTATTGCATTATGGTTTTCTTGGAATAATGAGACAGGCAGCACACTTAAATCAAGCTCTTATAGCCTATTTCTTTTGTGCAACTCATGCACTGTATGTGCCCTCCCCAAGCACACAGTGTTTGGGCTCATAATACCACAGGGAAACGTATAACCACCAGTTAATTACTTTGAGATTATATTAATTATTTTTACTTCCATGTGGTAAGATGCTGTATATGTGTCACGATCGCGGGGCAAGCGGGCCGGGAAGTAGGCGATCGGAACCAGGAAGTAGGGCAAGCGGGGTTTATTGAGGAAGAATCCACAATACGGGGAAGAACGACAGGTAACATTAATGACTAGTCTGGGAAAGACTGACTCAGACGAGGACTAAATACAAAAGACTAGCCAGACATAACAGGACACAGGTGATCACAATCAGGGCTGAACACGAGGTAACGAGGTGGGCGTGGCACACATTAGGAGCGGACGGAGCGGGGCGTGACAATATGGCAAACTGCGTCCGTAATTCGACATGCTTCTAATAAATCAGTAAGTGAGTATGCGCTTCGTAGTGCATTCTTGTCTTTTTTTACCCAAGTATTTATTTGACTCGCATCAGAAGTTGCAGCTGAACTGAAGCTGAGTGCGCCTGCTCTTCTGTAGGTGGACTAGTAATCAAGCTTTGCTTATAATGGCAGGTCAAAAGTGTCAAAACCTGTTGGCTTTTTTCACGTTTGACATGTAAACGTGGAGATTTGGAACGCATAATACGTTCAGAATGTATGGAACGCCAAACAGGTCAAAAACGTTTGAATACACAATAACAACACTTATTCTACGCATTAAGATTCATGTGTTTTTGAGCCATTCGGCTACTTGTCATTGGCTACTTGAGTTGAACTTGCATTAAACCATTTCTGTAGGTATAGGTGTTGAGGGGTTACAGCATTTGTACTTGCTCAGTGCTGGTGTTTTTGATATTTGTGATGTTTGCATCGTCAACTTTCAGGGCGCAGCCCTATCCCTTGCTGTACATACCTGAACACACAACTCCTACATCCTCTTTATGGACACAGTTATTCTGTCCCCTCATTGCTGAAGGACAGTCCCACAGAGACGTCTCATTCCCCTTACAGTCCACCTCTTCCAGCCAAATGGATCCAGTTCCTGGTCCAAAGAAGGTCGATACTGGGTCACTGAGAGCCGTCCCACACTGGAGCTGTCTGCACACCACTTCAGCA